AGTAAATTAAGGTCCATCTCATGAGAAGAAAGCACTAGACCACACAACATTGTGGTTGTTGTCACCAAATCTAAATTTGGCTTTGATCCTGTCTCTTCTCATCAGTACTCTTTGATGTCCCAGGTGCCAGTGAAACACCAGAAAGTGTCTGTGTTTCCATTGATTCAATCTGTTTGTCAATTTGCTTCAACTTTTGATCAATCAACCGCTCAAGATCATGCAAGTCTGCCATCTCCAAGTTCTCAGGCCCTGCCCCGGCCAACCCCCGGTACATGACTTCTGTCAATTCCTTCTTCCGATTATCCTTTTGTTGTTCCTTGAGTTGTTTGCTTCCACTATCCTTTGCCTAATGAAACTTTCTTGCTTCTCCATCTTCTAACTTTGTTCCATCATGGGTATCCTTCTGAACTGCGTGAGGACAGGTTGGACTCCCAAGGTGTTTGGCCAAATCTCTAGTTGGGACTCGTAGGGAATAAATAAATGAAAATGTTTGGGATCCCACAAAGGAGGACCCCCACAACTTTACTAATGTATTGATTATTGATGTATTTGAATTTTTTTAGGGGATTGTATCTGACAGTAACATGAATAGTTAGAATCATTTGGGGGGTTGTGTTTTGTGGGAATTTCTTTCATTATTGATAAATAAAAGATCTCAAACCGTTTGCACATGACAGCAGGAAGGAAATTAAATTGGCTATTTAATGATATTATCTGTTGATGATTAGGAAACAGCGAAGCAAATATTTTTTTACAGTTTTTACACGTTCTAAGTGACTATAACAAATTAGAATTTAAAAACAAAAATTTAAGGATAAAATTACTTTTTAGAGACGATATATTTTAATTATCATAAGTGTCATTTTTGTATACTCTCAGCAACAAAATTAGACATTTAATGATGGATTACTTTCTTTTGGATCAAAATTTTTATCTCAAAAAAAAAATTTTTTGTTGCACCAAATTTTTCTTGTCCCAAAACATGCATTTACTAGTGACATTTTCAAAGTTATCTCTAAAAGTCTTTTTTTAACTTTTCGACATAACTTTTTAGTAACGACTCTTGCGACAAGAGAAATTAATTTCCAAATATTTTTACTTTTAAAAGTAAAAAAAATTAGTTCCTAAAACCTTTATATGTTATAGTGAATTAGGACATAACTAAATAGAATACTATCATTTAGAGGCATTTAAAATGAGCTTATCATGTGAGATTTGGTGGCATCTATATGAGAAGATCGGATTTGGAGTCACATATATTCCTACCGGTGGGGCCAAATTTTGGGTCAAATATTCATGATGGAAATGGTTTATTTTGTAGGATCCATCAAGAGGATCAATAATGCAAAAATAAATAAATTAATTAAATTGATTGTCACGTGTCCATGTGATCAAATCACATTTATCTTTAAAAAATAAATGACAAATATGATTTTAAGAGTAAACCGTTCATTTTCTTAAAACAAGTACGATTCGATCAAATAACTATTACTATCTGATCATTCTTATTATTTATATGATTGATCTGGTAGATTGTAAATCTTACTAATGAATGGTTTAGATCAACAAGTGACCCAAAATTTGAGAAGATTTGATTCATGCACACACTTCACAATATCAATACTCAAGAATTCAATAAAATAAATCTATTCCAACTCTTGCCAAAATTAAACATTTTTGGTGCTTTCGCTACAACACTTGCAAGTCTATTGAATTGTTATAGGACATCAAATCATTCCTTAAATCTTTTTATTCCTAGTAATAAATTTTTGTGTCAAGGTGTTCTTTTCTTATAGGACACTTCCGAATGGAGTAAACGGATTTCTTCTTTCTCTACAAAAAGATCATTTACAAGTAAAAAAAGTTTTCTCAATATCATTAATGCAAATGAAATTCAAGAGAGATAGATAAACAATAAACACTAAGCATTAGCAAAATAAAGGACTAAAAATTAAAAGTGTTCGTGCAATGCAAGAAAATTAAGGTCTCTCTCATGGGAAGAAAACACTAGACCACATAGCATTGTGGTTGTCCCCAAATGGCATCACCATCTCATCCCCACCAAAACCCATATGCTCATTTGGATGATTCATCCACTCATTGAACCATTGAGGCCTTTGCATAGCTTCCATGGCCAAATCTAAATTTGGCTTTTGATCCTGTCTCATTTCATTAGTACACCTTGCTGTCATTGGCACCATTGACAAATCAGACAACGGCTTTTTTTTAATCGACTCAATTTTCTTGTCGATTTCCTCCAACTTTTGATCAATCAACCACCCAAGATCATGCAAGTCCGCTGTCACCAAGTTCTGAAGCCCTCTCCCAGTCAAACATTTGTACATGACTTCTGTCATCTCCTTCTCCCGGTTGTCCTTGTGTTGTTTCTTGAGATGTTCGTTTTCTTTCACTATCCTTTGCCTAATGAAAATTTCTTGGTTCACCATCTTCTTGCTTTGTTCCATCTCAGGCATCCTCTTGAACTGTGCAAGGACGCGTTGGACTCCCAAGGTGTTTGGCCAAACCTCAGGTTGGGACTCGTAGGGACTATATAGAATCGCACATGCATCTATACCACAAAGAGTACTTAGTTCACTCACCTTCTTCATCAGACCCTTCTTCCTTTTCTTGAATGTCGCTTTTCTTGCAGAATCATTAGTGATGAATGCAAGCTTCACCTTCTTTCTAGTCATGGCTAAAGCCAAGACCAAAGAGGCAAACAATTGGAACAATATGGTAGTCTGCAAAACAAACCTTGTGTGGTTTCTCTTAGTCCAAATGACCAATGGTATATATACACTTAATGGAGACACCAAAATTAATATCCCAAGATTTTCAGTTTTTGTGTCCTTGTTGGAGATAGTGATGACTGGGAGATTTTGGCAGGAAGTTATGACCAAATAATAATCTTAATGCCAAAAGCAGCACCATAAATTTTTTTTTCATTGCAAATTTTGTTGCTTAAGGGCTATATATTGTCATTGTTGAACATGATTTTATATTATAAAAATTGCAATTAATAGAAGGTAGGATTTTCTGTCCAAATCTTCTCCTATCTCCGTATTCTAAATTATCTCTCTATCATATAATGAGTATCTTTGATTTAATTATCATGTGATGATCTTCTCCTATCTACTTGTTTCAAGTTACTTCTCTATCACATGATAGACATCTCTAATATAATCGTGTGGTGGAGGGGAACTTCACAAAAATGAAACATGGGAGATTCAAATATAGGGAAACACATTTACACTTGGTAGGATTTCTCATTTGTCTAGAAATGAAGTACTCAAACCATATTTAATCTGGGATATGATATCTTGGATTGGAGATATTGTCCTTGGTGCAATTGTGACAATTTAATGTGTGAGTTGTGTAAAGTATATTTTGTTTTCTATTTTGTAACAGTCCCATTAATGTTTTGATGATAGAATAATGTGAATTAAGGAGCCAGATTTTGGAGGGAGTTATTTGGGCCCGTGAGGTCATGTATAGGTTTCGTTTTGATACTTCGAATAATTTATTTTGTTAAATATTTTGTATATCTTGTTTATATAAAAAAAATTAAATTAATCCAATAATTTAAATATCAAGTATAACGATTAATGTGTGAATTATGTAGAGTATATTTTGTTTTCTATTTTTAGACAGCCCCATTAATGTTTTGATGATAGAATAATATGATTAAATATCAAGTATATTGGTTGGTTTTGTGACATGCTTATCATTCATACAGTAAAGTTTATGAATTAATCTTTACGCTTTTAATTTTAATTTTTCTTTTTATAAATAATTTTATGGTAATCAAATTTGAGTACCAAATTTCGTTCCAAAAAAAAAAAATTGAGTACCAAATATTGAATATATAAGTAGAATATATAAGTATTAATGCATTAATAAGATGTATGTAAGGTGGGATCAAAATAAACAAATATATTAGTGACACATAAAATAATATTTAACTTTTGGTATCCAAATTTAGATACCAAAATTAAATATTACAAGATTTTTAGTTTGTGTCCTTGCTGGAGATAGTGATGACTTGGGAGATTTTGGCAGGAAGTTATGACCAAATAATAATCTTAATGCCAAAAGGAGCACAATAAATTTTATTTTCGTTGCAAATTTTGTTGCTTTAGGGCTATATATTGTCATTGTTGAACCTGATTTTATATTATAAAAACTGTGATTAATAGAAGGTAGGATTCTCTGTCTAAATCTTCTCCTATCTCCTTATTCTAAATTATCTCTCTATCACTTCTCTTCCACATGATGGACATTTCTAATATAATCGTGTGGTGGAGAGGAACTTCACGAAAAGGAAACATGGGAGATTCAAATATAGAGAAACACAGTTAAACTTGGTATAATTTCTCATTTCTCTAGAAATGAAGTACTCAAACCATCTGGGAAATGATATCTTGGATTGGAGATATTGTCTTTGGTGCAATTGAGACAACTTAATGTGTGAGTTGTGTAAAGTATATTTTGTTTTCTATTTTGTAATAGTCCCATTAATGTATTAATGATAGAATAATGTGAATTAAGGAGCCAGATTTTGAAGGGAGTTATTTGGCCCGTGAGGCCATTTACAAGTTCCATTTTGATAATTCGAATAATTTATTTTGTTGAATATTTTGTATATTTTATTTATATAAAAAAATTAAATTAATGCAATAATTTAAATATCAAGTATAGCGATTAATGTGTGAGTTATGTAGATTATATTTTGTTTTCTATTTTGGAACAGCCCCATTAATGTTTTGATGATAGAATAATATGATTGAATATCAAGTATATTGGTTGGTTTTGTGACATAGTTGCTTGCCTGAAGCTTATCATTCATACAATAAAGTTTATGAATTAATCTTTACATTTTTAATTTTAATTTTTTTTTTTATAAATAATTTTATGCTAATCAAATTTGAGTACCAAATTTCGTTCAAAAAAAAATTTTGAGTACCAAATATTGAATATATAAGTATTAATGCATTAGTAAGATGTATGTAAGGTGGGATCAAAACAAACAAATATATTAGTGACACATTAAATAATATTTAAATTTGGTATCCGAATTTAGATACTATATATATATATACTAGCGGCCGCGCACACGCGATGCGTGTGCAATTTAAATAAATAGGAATAAAAGAAAATAAAAATAAAATTAATATTATAATGTTGATATGAAATCCATTGGATTTGTCTGATTCATGTATCTGATTCATGTATAAACAACTCTTCTTTAGGTGATATAGAATTAGATTATGATAAATAATGTCAGGTGGTGGGAGAGAGAGTTTAAGGTTGAAAACGAAAAATATAGTGAAACTTAAGGAGAGCAAAATGTAATTTATTCAAAATTAGATAATAATAATAATAATGAAATATTATGTCACTCACATAACATTTTTTTGTATAAAATTGAACGAAAGTTAACTATTGAATTTAATTGGAAAAAACAAAACCAAAAAAAAAAAAAAATTAAGAGGGTAAAGTATAATTTGCCCACACAAAAATTGAGCAATGACATTTAAAAAAAAAAATAATAATAATAATAATAATAATAATAATAATAATAATTTCACTTTTTACTCATGTCACTTGACTCAAATTTTATTTCAGTTCTTATAGTTTTAATTTGAATAATTTATTTATACACTTTAAATTTAGTTTCAATTTAGTTACTCCATTCAAATTGGAGGTAAAATTAATAATTTTGATATACATGTCAATTTTTTAAAGTGTATACGTAGACAAAATTAATAAAAATTTAGACAAAATGATCAAATTGAAACTATACTTAAAGTGTCAAGATCAAATTGTTCAAATTGAAAATTTAGTGACTATGGTGAAATTTGGATTAAAATATAGGAATGAAAAGTGTAATTAACTATTTAAAAAATGTATTAAAAAATAAAAATAAATAAATAAATAAAGTGTTCCCTTGCCGAGTGCATATTATATCTTGTTGTTAGCAAAAATTTGGTTTGAAGCAAATCGATAGAGAAAAGTCGACAGACAAAACCAACAAATCAAGCGATATAGTTGATATCTTATGCCTTGACAGATTTAAGGACTTCTTTGGAGATTATCGACAGAGAGAAACAAACTAACTACTAATATTGTATTGTTGAAATTGTTACTTGTCACAAAACTTGAATAAGAACAAAAATACATAACAATCAGAATTTTTTTTACTAATTGCAAGAACTAGAAAACAATTACAGAACCATTAAATAAAACTACTCTTAAAGATAATAAACTATTCTTATGATATGTTAAAGTAATCTACTCTTAGATTAAAATAAACGATTCCTAGATAAAGAATTTTGATGAATTTGATGTTTTCTTCGATCTACTTATATTTACTCATATCTGAGTTTCTGGCTAAGGAGATGAATAGATCTACTTAGATCTGAGTAGATATATATCAGATCCGACTAAATCTAAACAAAAAAATAGTTGTAAGAGTGCAATCGTCTCTTTATGTCTGTCTCTCTCCTTCAATGATTCAGTTTTTTTATTTTTTCTTTGCTACATATTTCTCTTTTCTTGTTTTAATAGAGAAAATTTTCAAATTTTAAACAATTTTTTTCGAGTTTTACTTATAAACAGTGAAAACTGTAAAATTTGTGTAGTTTCATAACATGCTTTAAAACATTGTAAAATTTTGTAATTTCATAACATACTTTTACTACGAAATTTTATAGTTTTGTAAATATTTTTTAGTTTAATTAATAAGGAGAATGGCTTAATAAAATCATACTTTGACTATAATAATTTTATAGTTTCCAAAACATGTTTTTCAGTTTGATCAATATAAGAGATTTTTTTGTTTAAACTCTACAAAAATTAAAAAATAACTTTTATATTTTTCCATTGTTGTTTTTTATTGTTACAATTTTTCTTTTCCTTTCAGTTTATCAATAGTTAGCACATTTTGCTATGTGTTTTTGCTCTAATTTCTTCATTTATTTTTTTTTCCTGACAATATTCTTAATATTCCGGTGAGTTCCCGGCAATATTCTTGACGCCTAGTGATGTTTTGGACATTCCGACAACTTCCAGTGATATTCAGAACATTCTAGTAATATTTCGACGATTTCTCGATGAGCCTGCGGTGACCGTCTAACGAAAGTTCAGCAGTGATAAAATACAACAATATTTTTTAATTTTTTAAAATAAAAAAATAAGATTTTTAAATAATAATTAAAAATATATAAAACTAATTAATTATATATATATGTATATATATATGCGACGTACTGGTAAGTGTTTAAAAATAAACGTCTCATATCTATGAAATCGTAATGGGCCACGGGTCTAACAGTACGGTCCAAACTGAATTAGGCGAAGTCCAAAGCAAACTATTATTGACGATCTATCCTGCACATTTCAACCCAATTCTTCCTTTCCCAAGCCGCTCGACTCGATACACTTTCGGTGAGTCCTCTCTCTCTCTCTACTTACATATGTCCATGTATACGTATTTGTTGATTATGTTTATCTTTAGTCTTTACAACTTACCATGTAGAATATGAGATGTTATTAAAGTAGAGTTCAATGGATTACTATGATTTCCACATCTGAATTTGTGTTCCTTAATTATGTGTATACGTGTGTATGTATATATGTGGGTGGGGTTGAAGCTGGCAACAATTGGGAAGGGCGAGGACGGAAAGGGAGAAGGAAGAGAGAGGGGCAAAGGCAGATTTATAAAAAGCGCAAATATATAATTTTATCATGTTCTTTTAATTAATTTTTGTATAAATTACAAATACATTCTTAAAATTTATTAAAAATACAAATTCCTCCTTTATATTTGAGAAATTATATACCATTCTTTGAAATTTCTAATAATTACATAATAAATGGTTCCTTTCATTAATCAACCGTTAAGTCAAACTAATAAAGTGTATGACACGCAATCAAAGAAAAAAAAAACTTTAAAAAATACCTATATTAACATTTATGGAGTTAAACACTTTCTTTTTTTCTTTTTTCCTATCTTACCTTCCTTAATTTCATTTTCTAGTAATATGACTTTGACCAACCTTAGAGAGGAATTTGAGGGGTGAGTGAATGAAAATGAGAGTAATATAGTAATTTTATTTTGGTATTAGTGATTATTTAAGCATTTTTTTTTTTTTCCCTATTAGATCAATTATAAAAAATATTATAACAGGGAATATTTATAATTTATGGAAGGTGAGTCAGATCTTAGCCTTGTCAAGTCATGAATGGAGATGAAAAAAACGATAGTGGTCAGGATGGTGAAGAAAAGGAAAGAAAAACAAATTGTGATTAATTTTTTTTTTTTTTTAAAACCCCAATATTTATATGATAATAAAAAAAATATTCTTTCCTACGGTGGGTTCACGTGACACTATTTAATCGTTTAATCATTAAGTTGAGTTCAATAAAATACAAGTAAATAATATTTATTTTTTATAGAATAGTTATTTATTTATGATAATGAAAGATAATTTTATCTATAATATATTTTCATATTTTTTTAATTAACCAAACATCTTCATTCCCTTCAATTTCATTTTTGGTTTTGAGTTTGTGTAATGAAATAATTGACTTGATTTCCCTTTTCTTCAACGGGAGAGTTGAAGATTTTTTTCCCCCTATTTCTGTTTTGGTGGAATTGAATAAAACTTGTCATACATTTTTTAGGGTTATTGCTCTTAAAAGACGCAATCATGTGCACTCTTTCATAACTCATGTGTACCATAATGATTAGGGATGGAATCAATTCGATATAAACGGTATTTAAGCAAAAAAATTTATCGAATTGATAATACCGGTTTTATTATTTTGAGTATGGATGCAGACCATTTTTCCTATCAAATTGCACCGAACCGAACCGATTGAAATGGTTTGATTCGGTTCAATTTAATCGGTTTAAGACTTTTCAAACTTGAGTCACTTTTTAGTATAGTCATTAATTTATATAAAAACATTGAACACCACTTCAAACATATCCAATCCATCTATTTAATAATACTTTGCAATTCCAAAATTAACCAAAATACAAACATAAAAATAGTTAAAAAATTGTTTGATTTTAGTTTTTTGAATTTAGTTTTTGAAAATTGAGTTTTTGTTTCTTTGTGTTTTTTTTTTTATTTTTAGTGAATATTTTTAAAATTTTAAGCATTTTTTTTTACTTTTTTATATGCACCTTACTTAGATGTATCTAAATAGTAAAATATTTGTGAAAAAATATTTTAAAAAATTAATAAATACACAAAATATTAAAAAATATATATACTAAATTTTCATATATATAAATATTTTTGAATTTTTGGTATTTAGTGAATTTTTTTAAAAAAAAAATCATAAATATTATACTTTTTAAGTGTATTTATGTTAGGTGTATTTAGAAATTAAAAAAAAATGGTTAAAATATTAAAAAATTCAGTGAAAACAAAAAAATACAAAAAACAAAAAAGTAGACTTTTCTGAAAAATTCTGAGAACTGAAACTAAATAGAGTGATTAAGATTTCAAGAATAATAAGTTAGAATTAAGATTATATATAATAAGAGTTTACAAATTTAAATTATAGAGATGATAAGATTAATTAATTAAGGATAATAATTTATTGTACTTATTAATATCATTATATTATTAAATTATATATATATACTAAATACAATATATGTTGAAATAGTTGGTTTCGGATTTAGTTGTTCGGTATACAAGGTGCTTGAACTGATACTGAATCGAAAATCAAAAAAAATCAAATTAAAAAATCAGACAAACCGATTTTTATTAAAAAAAAATACCAAATATAACCGATTTGGTTGGATTCAATCGATTTGATCAATTTTTTAAAATTTTTTTTACCTCCCCAACAATTATAATGTTTCATAACAAACATTTAAATATATAAATTCTTTATCAAAATAATTTGTAACTTTTATTACACAAATGATTCGTAATATCTTTACGTTGGATGATATAATAAAAAGGATCAGAACCTAAAAAAAGTAACAGAAATTAGGTGGTAGAGACGGTGATGTGTGGACCAATAGGACAACTACTTTACAATTGATCGTTTTGAAAAGGTGATTAAAAGTTAATTTTTTGATTTTTTTAAAAAAATGTGTAAAAAATATAAGAGATGATGTGACATAAAATAAGTAAAGTTAGAAGATAACTTTTAACCATCTTCCTAAAATAGTCCTTAATGTTAGTTTGGCAATAAGCGAAATAAATTATTTATTAACTTATTTATGTCACATTACTTCTGTGTTTTTTTTTTACATATTTTCATAAAAGATCAAAAAACTAAAAAATAAGTCATATCCAAACTCATAATATTCCAAATGTTTTGCATATGACAAGGGGAAGGAAATTAACCTAGCTGGTGAGTTTGGGTATGACTCATTACACACACACACAAAAAAAAGGTACAAAAAAAAAAACCATATAGAAATGATGACAGGAATAAACCAATAATTAACTTATTTGGTTGGTTGCCAAACTCTTTAATGGTTATATCTGTTACACTTCTTACATGTTCAAAGTGAGGAAATAATTAAATCAAATGCTGTCATTTTGAGGAGAAGATTAGGAGTCACTTATATCCCTCTCATTGGGGCCTAATTTTGGGCCCAATCTTCATGATCGAGGTTGGTAGGGTTGATTGAGAAAATCAACCAAGCAAGAAAATAAAATAAAAAAATCAAATTAATTGAATATCAGTAATTACGTCTACGTGATCAAATCACATTTTTTTAAAAACAAAATGAATGACAAATATAATTTTAAGAATAAACCATCTATTTTCTTAAAACAAGTATGATTTGATTAGGTAACAATTGATATCTAATTACTTTTATTTTTTATATGATTCTTCTGTGAGATTATAGACCCTAATCCTTTTATTCCTAATAATAAAATTGTATATGTGTCAAGGTGTTTTCTTTTGCAAGACACTTCTGAATGGAGTAAATTGATTGTTTTTTTGCTCTAGAAAAAGATCATTAACAAGTAAAAAAGATTTCTCAAAATCATTAAAGTACATGAAATTCAAGAGAGAAAAGTAAACAACCAACACTAGGCATTACCAAAACAAAGGACCAACCCAGGAGAGAAAAGTAAACAATCAACACTAGGCATTACCAAAACAAAGAACTAAATTGAAAGGGTGGGTTCACACAAAACATGCAAAAGTAAACTAAGGTTCATCTCATGAGAAGAAAGCACTAGACCACATAGCATTGTGGTTGTTGTCACCAAATCTAAATTTGGCTTTGATCTTGTTTCTTCTTATTAGTACTCTTTGATGTCCCAGGTGCCAGTGAAACACCAGAAGGTGTCTGTGTTTCCATTGATTTAATCTGTTTGTCAATTTGCTTCAACTTTTGATCAATCAACCGCCCAAGATCATGCAAGTCTGCCATCTCCAAGTTTTCAAGCCCTGCCCCGGCCAACCCCCGGTACATGAGTTCAGTCATCTCCTTCTCCCGATTATCCTTTTGTTGTTTCTTGAGTTGTTCATTTGCTTCCATTATCCTTTGCCTAATGGAACTTTCTTGCTTCTCCATCTTCTTACTTTGTTCCATCTTGGGTATCCTCCTGAACTGCGCTAGGACACGTTGGACTCCCAAGGTGTTTGGCCAAATCTCTAGTTGGGACTCGTAGGGAATAAATAAAGGAAAATGTTTGGACCCCACAAAGGGCGGCCCCATGACTTTACTAATGTATTGATCATAGATGTGTTTGAATTTTTTTTAGGAGTTGTGTCTAACAGTAACATAATGGTTTAGATCATTTTAGCGGTTGTGGGGGTTGTGTTTTGTGGAGATCTCTATCATTATTGATAAATAAAAGATCTCAAACCGTTTGCACATGACAAGAGGAAGGAAATTAAATTAGCTATTTAATGATATTATCTGTTGATGATTAGGAAACAGCGAAGCAAATACTATTTTATAGTTTTTACACGTTCTAAGTCACTATAACAAATTAAAATTTTAGAAATAAAAATTTAAGGATAAAATTACTTTTTAGAGACTATATATTTTAATTATCAAAAGTGTCATTTTTGTATATTCTCAGCAACAAAATTAGACATTTAATGATGGATTACTATCTTTTGGATCAAAATTTTTATCTCAAAAAGTAAAAAAAATTTTTGCACCAAATTTTTTTTGTCCCAAAACATACATTTACTAGCAACATTTTCGAAATTATCTCTAAAAGTCCTTTTTTGACTTTTTGAGATAACTTTTTAATAATGACTCTCGCGACGAGAAGAATTGGTCTCCAAATATTTTTTACAACAAAATTTTTACTTTTAAAAACAAAAAAATTTAATTCCTAAAACCTTTATATGTTATAATGAGTTAGGACATAACTAAATCAAATACTATCATTTAGGCTTAGTTTGATATAACCTACAACAATTAAAAAGTCAAAAAGTCTATACTATTTGAGGAAAGCTTGTTGGGGAAGCCTAGAGGGCAAACCTTTCAATTCAACTATCCAAAAGTTAAAAAGTTAAAATTCGAAAAGTTAACAAAGGTAGAATAATCATTTTGATTTTATTATAATATTTTATTACATATCTTTTTATAAAAAATCAAAAAATTATTTCAAACATAATTTTTTTTCTCTATTTTAAAATGAGCTTATCATGTGAGATTTGGTGGCATCTATGTTAAAAGATCGGATTTGGAATCACTAGTAATATCCCTACGGGTGGGGCCTAATTTTGGGTCAAATATTCATGATGGAAACGGTTTATTTTGTAGGGTCCATCAAGAGGATCAATAATGCAAAAATAAATAAATAAATTAAATTGATTGTCACGTGTCCATGTGATCAAATCACATTTATTTTTAAAAAATAAATAATAAATATAATTTTACGAGTAAACTGTTCATTTTCTTAAAATAAGTACGATTCAATTAAATAACTATTAGTATCTGATCATTCTTATTATTTACATGATTGATCTGCTAGATTGTAGATCCTACTAGTGAATGGTTTAGATCAACAAGTGACCCAAAATTTGAGAAGATTTCATTCATGCACACTTCATAATATCAATACTCACGAATTCAATAAAACAAATCTATTCTAATTCTTGCCAAATTTAATCATTTTTGGTGTTTTCGCTACAACACTTGCAAGTCTATTGAATTGTTATAGGACATCAAATCATTCCCCAAATCTTTTTATTCCTAGTAATAAAATTTTGTGTCAAGGTGTTCTTTTCTTATAGGACACTTCCGAAAGGAGTAAACGGATTTCTTCTTTCTCTACAAAAAGATCATTAACAAGTAAAAAAGTTTTCTCAATATCATTAATGCAAATGAAATTCAAGAGAGATAGATAAACAATAAGCACTAAGCACTAGCAAAATAAAGGACTAAAAATTAAAAGTGTTCATGCAATGCAAGAAAATTAAGGTCTCTCTCATGGGAAGAAAACACTAGACCACATAGCATTGTGGTTGTCCCCAAATGGCATCACCATCTCATCCCCAACAAAACCCATATGCTCATTTGGATGATTCATCCACTCATTGAACCATTGAGGCCTTTGCATAGCTTCCATGGACAAATCTAAATTTGGCTTTTGATCCTGTCTCATTTCATTAGTACTCCTTGATGTCATTAGCACCATTGACAAATCAGAGAATGGCGTTTTTTTAATCGACTCAATTTTCTTGTCGATTTCCTCCAACTTTTGATCAATCAACCACCCAAGATCATGCAAGTCCGCTATCACCAAGTTTTGAAGCCCTCTCCCACTCAAACATTTGTACATGACTTCTGTCATCTCCTTCTTCCGGTTGTCCTTGTGTTGTTTCTTGAGATGTTCGTTTTCTTTCACTATCCTTTGCCTAATGAAAATTTCTTGGTTCACCATCTTCTTGCTTTGTTCCATCTCAGGCATCCTCTTGAACTGCGCAAGGACGCGTTGGACTCCCAAGGTGTTTGGCCAAACCTCAGGTTGGGACTCGTAGGGACCATATATAATCGCACATGTATCTATACCACAAAGAGTGCTTAGTTCACTAACCTTCTTCGTCAGACCCTTCTTCCTTTTCTTGTATGTTGCTTTTCTTGCTGAATCATTCGTGATGAATGCAAGCTTCAACTTCTTTCTAGTCATCGCTAAAGCTAAGACCAAAGAGGCAAACAATTGGAATGATATGGTAGTTTGCAAAACAAATCTTGTGTGGTTTCCCTTAGTCCAAATGACCAATGGTATATATACACTTAATGGAGATGCCAAAATTAATATTGCAAGATTTGCAGTTTTTGTGTCCTTGTTGGAGATAGCGATGACTTGAGAGATTTTGGTAGGAAGTTATGACCAAATAATAATCTTAATGCCAAAAGAAGCACTATAAATTTTATTTTCATTGCAAATTTTGTTGCTTATTAAGGGCTATATATTGTCATTGTTGAACATGATTTTATATTATAAAAACTGCGATTAGTAGAAGGTAGGATTCTCTGTCCAAATCTTCTCCTATCTCCTTATTCTACATTATCTCCCTATCACATAATGAGTATCTCTGATTTAATCATGTGGTGATTCTCTCCTATCTCTTTATTCCAAGTCACTTCTCTATCACATGATATCTCTAATATAATCGAGCGGTGGAGAGGAACTTTACAAAAAGGAACATGGGAAATTCAAATATAGAGAAATGCAGTTACACTTGGTAGGATTTCTCATTTGTCTAGAAATGGAGTACTCAAACCATATTTAATTTTGGATATGATATCTCGGATCGGAGATATTGTCCTTGGCGCAATTGAGACAATTTAATGTGTGAGTTGTGTAAAGTATATGTTTTCTATTTTGTAACAATCTCATTTATGTTTTGATGATAGAATAATGTGAATTAAGGAGCCAGATTTTGGAGGGAGATATTTGGGCCCGTGAGGCCATTTACAGGTTTCGTTTTGATAATTCGAATAATTTATTTTATTAAATATTTTGTATATTTTATTTATATAAAAAATTTAAATTAATCCAATAATTTAAATATCAAGTATAACGATTAATGTGTGAGTTATGTAGAGTATAGTTTGTTTTCTATTTTTGGACAGCCCCATTAGTGTTTTGATGATAGAATAATATGATTAAATATCAAGTATATTGGTTGGTTTTGTGACATAATTGTTTGCCTAGCTTATCATTCATACAATAAAATTTATGAATTAATCTTTACATTTTTAATTTTAATTTTTTTTTAATAAATAATTTTATGGTAATCAAATTTGAGTACCAAATTTCGTTCAAAAAATAAAAATAAAAAATTGAGTACCAAATATTGAATAAATAAGTATTAATGCATTAGTAAGATATTTGTAAGGTGGGATCAAAATCAACAAATATATTAGTGACACATTAAATGATATTTAACTTTTGGTATCCGAATTTAGACACCACAATTAGTATTGCAAGATTTTTAGTTTGTGTGTCCTTGTTGGAGATAGTGATGACTTGGGAGATTTTGGTAGGAAGTTATGACCAAATAATAATCTTAATGCCAAAAGGAGCACTATAAATTTTATTTTCATTGCAAATTTTGTTGCTTAAGGGCTATATATTGTCATTGTTGAACATGATTTTATATTATAAAAACTGCGATTAATAGAAGGTAAGATTCTTTGTCCAAATCTTCTCCTATCTCCTTATATTCTAAATTATCTCTCTATCATATAATGAGTATCTCTGATTTAATCATGTGGTGATCCTCTCCTATCTCCTTGTTCCAAGTCACTTCTCTATCACATGATGGACATCTCTAATATAATCGCGTGGTGGAGAGGAATGGGAGATTCAAATATAGAGAAACACAGTTACACTTGGTAGGATTTCTCATTTGTCTAGAAATGAAATACTCAAACCATATTTAATATGGAATATGATATCTTGGATTGGAGATATTGTCTTTGGTCCAATTGAGACAATTTAATGTCTTGAGTTGTGTAAAGTGTATTTTGTTTTCTATTTTGTAACAGTCCTGTTAATGTTTTGATGATAGAATAATGTGAATTAAGGAGTCAGATTTTGGAGGGAGTTATTTGGGCCCTTGAGGCCATTTACAGGTTTCATTTTGATAATTCGAATACTTTATTTTGTTTAATATTTTGTATATTTTATTGATATAAAAAAATTAAATTAATCCAATAATTTAAATATCAAGTATAACGATTAATGTGTGAGTTATGTAGAGTATATCTTGTTTTCTATTTTTGGACAGTCCCATTAATGTTTTGATGATAGAATGATATGATTAAATATCAAGTATATTGTTTGGTTTTGTGACATAATTGCTTGCCTGAAGCTTATCATTCATACAATAAAGTTTATAAATTAATCTTTACATTTTTATTTTTAACTTTTTTTATAAATAATTTTATGGTAATCAAATTTGAGTACCAAATTTCGTTCAAAAAAAAAATTTGAGTACCAAATATTGAATATATAAGTATTAATGCGTTAGTAAGATGTATGCAAAGTGGGTTCAAAATAAACAAATATATTAGTGACACATTAAATAATATTTAATTTTTGGTATCCGAATTTAGATGGTTGTTTGAGATGTCTTAAATAAATGTATTTTTTGATTTTTCGGACTAAAAAGTTGAGGAAAAAAATATGATTGTTTGGATTAACTTTTTGACTTTTTATGAAAAAATGTGTATTAAAAAATTGTATAAATTAGTGTGTAGGGAAAAATTAAGATTGAGAGTTGTACAGTCGTACTTTTTGACTTTTTGTGAATAGTGATAACTTTTTAACTTTTTAAATAACTTTTTGACTTTTTAACTTTTTTTCAACTTGCCAAACTATATATATATAGCGGGAGTTTTCTTAAGTGTGCAAGTGTACACCATGTGCCACTCACACAAAAAGTGTAAGTGTAAGGTGTGAGTATAAGTATAAGGTGTAAGTGTAAGGTGTAAGGGTAAGGTGTAAGGTGTAAGTGGGTTGCACATAGTGTGCAACCTCAAAAAAGGTGTAAGTGTAAGGTTTAATTTTTTACAAAAGGTGTAAGTGTAAGGTGTAAGTGTAAGGTATAAGGTGTAAGGTGTAAGTTGCACACCATAACCAAACCCTATATAGCGTTATTATTTTGATATGAAATTCATTGAATTTGTCTGATTCATGTATGTGATGTGAGAGACGAAATTGCACTAAAACAATTCTTCTTTAGTTGATATAGAATTAGACTATGATAAATAATGTCAGAAGTTCAAGGTTGAAAACGAAAAATATAGTGTAACTTAAGGAGAGCAAAATGTAATTTATTCAAAATTAGATTATAATAATGAAATATTATGTCACTCACATAACATTTTTCGTATAAAATTGAACGATAGTTAACTATTGAATTGAATTGGAAAAAACAAAACCAAAAAAAAATTAAGAGGGTATTTGCCCACACAAAAATTGAGCAATAACATTAAAAAACAAAAAAAAAAAATTAATTACACTTTTTACTCGTGTCATTTGACTCAAATTTTATTTCAGTTCCTATAGTTTTAATTTGAACAATTTGTTTCTACACTTTAAGTTTAGTTTCAATTTAGTCACTCCATTTAAATTAGAAAAGTGTTAGGACCAAATTGTTCAAATTAAAAATTTAGTGACTATAGTGAAATTTGGATTAAAATATAGGAATGAAAAGTGTAATTAACTCTTTAAAAAATATATTAAAAAAATATTTTTTTAAAAAAAGGTGTTCCCTTGCCGAGTGCAGATTGTATCTCGTTGTTAGCAAAAATTTGGTTTAGAGTAAATCGATAAAGAAAAGTCATCAGACAAAACTAATTTCACAAACAACAAACACATCAAGCGATGTAGTTGGTGTCTTATGTCTTGACAGATTTAAGGACTTCTTTAGAGATTATCGACAGAGAGAAACAAACTAAATACTAATATTGTATTGTTGAAATTGTTACTTGTTGTAAAAATTTGAACAAGAACAAAAACAAAAATACATAATAATCAGACTTCACTAAGGCTCATCCTCCTGGCCGCTTCAATGATCTTGTTTCCAAACTCAACTTGGTTGATGCTTTCCCTCCTTGAGTTTGCGGGGGGCTGTTAGAATAGCTTTAGCATAGCTTTAGCAGACTTCATTATTATTTGTATAGCTTTATGATAGACTAGCTTTAACTTTATATTATTAATTGTATAGTGTTTGCTTTCGGTGATAATGGTGGTATCCAATGCCCCTTTCTCTCTCTATAAAGAGAGCCTTCATCTCTTTGTAAATAACACAACATAATACAAACATTTCAGAGTCTCTCTCTCACTCTATAGCTTCTCTCACTCTCTCAAACTAATCTTTCAAGTAAGATGTGTGCAAAGTGGGTTCAAAATAAACAAATATATTAGTGACACATTAAATAATATTTAATTTTTGGTATCCGAATTTAGATGGTTGTTTGGGATGTCTTAAATAAATGTATTTTTTGACTTTTCGGACTAAAAAGTTGAGAAAAAAAATATGATTGTTTGGATTAACTTTTTGACTTTTTATGAAAAAATGTGTATTAAAAAATTGTATAAATTAGTGTATTGTGTGCAACCTCAAAAAAGGTGTAAGTGTAAGGTTTAATTTTTTACAAAAGGTGTAAGTGTAAGGTGTAAGTGTAAGGTATAAGGTGTAAGGTGTAAGTTGCACACCATAACCAAACCCTATATAGCGTTATTATTTTGATATGAAACTCATTCAATTTGTCTGATTCATGTATGTGATGTGAGAGACGAAATTGCACTAAAACAATTCTTCTTTAGTTGATATAGAATTAGACTATGATAAATAATGTCAGGTGGTGGCAGAGAAAGTTCAAGGTTGAAAACGATAAATATAGTGTAACTTAAGGAGAGCAAAATGTAATTTATTCAAAATTAGATTATAACAATGAAATATTATGTCACTCACATAACATTTTTCGTATAAAATTGAACGATAGTTAACTATTGAATTGAATTGGAAAAAATAAAACCAAAAAAAAATTAAGAGGGTATTTGCCCACACAAAAATTGAGCAATAACATTAAAAAACAAAAAAAAAAAATTAATTACACTTTTTACTCGTGTCATTTGACTCAAATTTTATTTCAGTTCCTATAGTTTTA